CTATAGAATTTTGTCAACCAATGTCACCCTAATAAATTTAATAATAAAAAATAAAAGAATTATACACCACAAACAAGTAGAATTTATTTCAGGTATCAGGGCTGGTTCATCATTTGAAAATCCACCAATGTTATCCATACAACAACAGGCTAATAAGGAAAAAGCATATGGTCACACAAATTGATGCATAAAAAGCATTTGACAAAATTCAATTCCCATTCATAATTAAAAAAAAAAAACTCCCAACAAAGTAAGAATACAAGGGCACTACTTCAAACTGATAAAGAGCATTTACAAAAAAAAAAAAAACAAACTATATATACCTAACATTATACTTGATGGTCAAAACTACTCTAAGACTGGGAACAAAACAAAGATGTCTACTCAGAATATTTATTCAATGTAGTACTAGAAATTTTATGATTGCAATGTCAGGAAAAAAACCCAAAGGATTGAAAAGGAGAAATAAAAACTCGTTCTTATTGTAAATGACATAATTATCTACATTTTAAAAATTCCAAAATATCATTTTTAAAAAAAACCCTCCCAGAACTAATCAATGATTTCAGCAAGGCTACAGGAAACAAGATCAACACAAAAATTAATCTCAAAACTCAACAGCAAAAAACCTTGATAAAAAAAGAAAAAAGATTTGAACAGAAAAAGAAATACCAATGGCAAATCAGCACATAAAAACATACTCAGCCTCATTTGTCATTAGGGAAAAATGGGTTAAAATCACATTGAATTTAATATCTAAAAATTTTAAATCTGACATTTTTGCTCGTGAGAATATCAGACAACTGGAACTCTTCTATACTGCTGGAATTTTTTACGTAAGTGTTCATCAGAGATATTGGTCCATAATTTTTTTTTTGTAATGTCTTTCTCTGGTTTTAGAATCGGTAATGTTGGACTATAAAATGAGTTTGAGAGCTTTCCCTTTCCTACAATTTTTTGGAATAGTTTGAGAAGAATACATGTTAATTCTTTTTTGAATATTTGGTAAAATTCACCTTTGAAGCCATCTGGTCCAGGACTTTTGTTTGTTGGCAGATTTTTTTTTACTCATTCAATTTCATTAGTTGTCTGTTCACATTTTCTATTTCTTCTTGTAAAGATTGTATGTTCTAGAAATTTATACATTTCCTCCAGGTTATTCAATTTGTTGGCATATGATTGTACTTTTTATAATCCGTCCTATTTCTGTAGAGTCTGTTATCACTTCTCTTCTTTCATTTCTAATTTTTTTATTTGGATCCTCTCTCTTTTTTCCTTGTTGAGTGTGGTTAAACATTTATCAATTTTGTTTGTCCTTTCATAGAACCAGCTCTTGGTTTCATTGAGCTTTTATATTGTTTTTTAAGACTCTATTTCATCTGTTTCTGCTCCAATCTTTATTATTTCCTTTCTTTTACTCACTTTGGACTTTGTTTGCTGTTCTTTTTCTAGTTCTTTTGGATGTAAAGTTATATTGTTTATTTGAGATTTTTCTTGTTTCTTGATGTAGGCCTGTATTGCTTTAAGTTTCTCTCTTAGAACTGCTTCGGCTACAACCCATAGATTTGACATTGCAACAGCAATCAAAGCTTGTGTCTTCATTTTCATTTGTCTCAAGATATATTTTGGCTTTTTCCTTGATCTCATTGTTAACCCATCTATTGTTTAGTAGTATGTTATTTAGCTTCCATGTGTTTGTGTGTTTTTCAGTTTTCTTCTTGTAATTAATTTCTAGTTTTATACCGTTGTGATAGGAGAAGATACTTGGTATTTCAATCTTCTTCAATTTGTTGAGACATGTTTTGTGGCCTAACATGTGGTCTTTCCTGAAAAATGTTCTATGTGCTCTTGAAAAGAATATATATTCTGCTGCCTGGGTGTAATGCTCTAAAAATATCAATTAAATCTATCTGTTCTAATGTGTCATTTAAGGCCAGTTTCCTTATTGATTTTCTGTCTAGATAATTTATCCATTGATGAGAACAGAATGTTAAATTTCCCTAGTATGGTGTTTTACTGTCAGTCTCTCCCTTTATGTCCTTCAATATTTGCTTTACATATTTAGGTGCTCCTACGTTGGGTACATAAATGTTTTCAAGGGTTACATCCCCTTGTTGGATTGATCCTTTTATCGTTATGTAATGTCCTTCTTTGTCTCTTATTATAGTCTTTGTTTTAAAATCTATTTTGCCTAATATAAGTATTGCTACCTCAGTTTTTTTTTTACATTTCCATTTGCATGGAATATCTTTTTCCATACCCTTACTGTTAGTCTGTGTGTGTCTTTCAATCTGAAGTGAGTCTCTTATAGACATTGTATGTACAGGTCTTGCTTTTTTACCCATTCAGGTACTTTTCATCTTTTGATTGGAGCATTTAATCCATTTACATTTAAAGTAATTACTGATAGGTATGTATTTATTGCTTTGTTATTATTTATATTTTTTATCTTTTTTCTTCTTCTTTTTAAAGAACTCCCTTTAACATTGTAATACTGGTTTGGTGATGATGAACTCCTTCAGCTTTTTCTTGATTGGGAAGCTATCTGTCCTTCGATTCTAAATGATCGCTTTGCTGATAGAGTAATCTTGGTCGTAGGTCCTTGCTTTTCATCACTTTGAAGATTTCATGCCAATCCCTCTGGATTGCAAATTTTCGGTTGAGAAATCAGCTGACAGTCTTATGGGAGTGACTTTGTAGATAACCAAATGCTTTTCTCTTGCTGCTCTTAAAATTCCCTCTTCATCTTTAACCTTTGGCATTTTAATTATAATTTCTCTTGGTGTGGGCTTCTTTGAACTCAACTTGTTTGGGACTCTGCATTTCCTGGGATTGTACATCTATTTCCTCCACCAGCTTAGGAAATTTTTCCATCATTACTTCTTCAAATAGGTTTTAAATCCTTTGCTCTTTCTCTTGTCCTTCTGGTACTTCTATGATGCGAATATTGGAACACTTGATATTGTCCTAGAGGTCCCTTAAATTATCCTCATTTTTTTACTCATTTCTTTTTTCTGTGCTAATTCGGTGTTTTCTGCTATCTTGTAAATTGCTAGTTCAATCCCGTTTCCCTTAAAGCACTGTTGATTTTTCTAATGTAGTATTCATTTCTTTTATCATGTTAATTATTTCTGACTGTTCTTTTTTATGTTTTCTATATCCTTTTTTTATAGTTTCCATCTCTTTGTTAAAGCTCTCACTGAATTCATCTACTCTTCCCCTAAGTTCATTGAGCATTCTTATAATCAGTGTTATAAACTCTGCATCTGGTCAATGCTTGTCTTCATTTTGCTTAGTTCTTTTTCTGGAGTTATATCCTGTTCTTTCATTTGGGACATGTTTTTTGCTTTCTCATCTTGGCTGACTCTCTCTGTTTGTTTCTATCTATGTAGATAGATCAGCTATGTCTCCCAGTCTTAGTAGAGTGGCCTTATGCAGTAGATGTCCCTTGGGGCTCAGTAGCGCATTGCCCCTGATAGCCTAAACTGGGTGCTCCAGGGATGTCATTTTTGTGTGTTCTCTCCTGTTGTAATTAATGGTGACAGAAGTTGTGTGTTCTCTCCTGTTGTAATTAAGCTTTGATTGCTGTTGCAATGTCATTGGGAGGAATTGATACTCAGGCTGACAGACTGTGAGAAATGGCCATAACTACAGCAGATGAGCTGTTGCGTAGGGACTGACCCCACGGAGCGGGATTCGCTTTAGCGGGTCTCTGGTGACTGTTGAGTCCACCCTTTGGGTATGTTGTTTGCCAAGATTATACAGTGGTGTGCTGCTGTGGTCTGAAGCCAGTCACCAGGTGTGGTACTTTGGGGGCCTCTTGAGAGGAGTTCTGGTTCAAGGAAAGATCAGCCACTGCTTGTGCTTGTTTCACAGCCACCTGGTAGGACCTCGAAAGTGATATGCAGATAGTTACTACCTGAGCTGGGCTTGGAGGTACCGGGCAGAGGTTAAAATGGGAACCGAGGCTGGCTGCCACTAGTACTGGGCTTGAAGCCACTTAGCAAGAGACACAAGGCACACCAGGCCAAACACTGCTCATTTGGGATTTGTGAGCTTTTGAGACATTTTAAGAAAGTCCACAGTGCAAGCCAAAACAGGCTATTTGTCTGGAAAAGCCACTGTAAAGTTTCGGCCCATGCACTTGCGTTAGGTGGGGTGGGGTCATCAGGGCCAGGGAACAGTTAGCCAAGTTAATGGAGTGTTAAGATTTGGCTCAGGCCTGCACCTACTGACTGGGTGGGGTGAGGGCTCAACAAAGGAACAATGGCGTTAGCCAGTACTTTTGTCCCCAGTGAGCTGTCCTGACCCCTGCCACCGTAAAGCTAGTCAATTTAGCTCCTCCCCATATGTCACTAGTGCTTTTCAAGCTACTTCCCAGCACCGGAGCTCCAGAGTGAGTGAGTCTGTGAGTAAGTAAATCAGTGTGCAAGCCCTTAAAGAGGAATGCCTGGTTCTCCAGTGGCCCTCCATGTCACTCAGCCTCAATCCCCACTATTTTTAACAGCCAGATGTTATAGGGACTTCTCTTTCCAGCACTGGAGCTATGGGCTGGGGAGCCCAGTGTGAGACTGAAATTCCTTGTTCCTCAGGGGAGAACCTCTGCTGCCGAGATATCCCTGCCATTTCTTAACTGCCACACCGTGGATGTGGGGCCTGCACATTCCTCATCTCCACCCCTCCTACCCATCATGACATGGCTTCTTCTTTATATCCTTAGTTATAGGAATCTGTTCAGCTAGTCTTCAGGTGGTTTTCAGTGGTGGTTGTTCTGTAATTTAGTTGTAATTTTTTTAAGATTTCAATACATTTTAGATTTTATTCTTCTCATTGTGATCCACATTTAATATTCTTTTCTTAATTTTTAAAAAAGTTTCAATTACAGTTGAAATACAATATTATATTAGTTTCAAATGTACAACATAGTGATTAGACATTTATATAAATTATAAAGTGATAACCCTTTACCCTAGTACCCATCTGACACCATACATAGTTATTAAAAATATGAATGCTTCACAAATTTGTATGTCACCTTGTGCAGAGGATGTGCTAATCTTCTCTGCATCATTCCAATTTTAGTATATGTGCTGCTGAAGTGGGCACTTTAGTTGTAATTTTGATGTGGTTGTAGGAGGCAGCGAGAACAGCATTTACCTACTCTGCCATCTTGACCAGAAGTCTTATATGACAATCTTAAAAAGGAAAAACTATAGGGACAAGTGGAATGACTACAGATAAAGGGAAAGGACAAGGGAAATTTTGGGTGATAAAACTGTTCCATGTCCTGATTATGATGCTTTAATGCTCACAAAATTGTGTACCACCTTAAAAGTGAATTTTACTGTATATAAACTAAAATATAAAGGAAATTCTATGAATTCTATTTTTTAAAAGTGAATTATGCACCTTCTGTAGGATCTGATGCTGACCTCAGTTACTTGGTGTCAGAATTGAATTGAATTGTAGGACAACCAGTTTGTGTCAGAGAATTAGATATTTGGTGTCGATATTAGAGAATTGGAAAATTGATTGGTCTTGGGGAAAAAACACACATTAAACATCAGAAGCAGTGTCAAAAATAATCACAATGGCAAAGGGAAAGTAAGGTACCAGAAGGAATTAGGTTGCTAATGAACTCACTTTAAAATTGAAAGAGTATCTTGTCTTATCCAGGTGGGTTCAATGTAATCCCAAGGGTCCTTCAGTGGGGAAGAGGAAGGCAAAAGAGGAGGTCAGGGTGATGCCATGTGAGAACTCAACGCACTATTACTAGTGATGGAGATGGAGGAAGAATATCACAACCAAGAAAGGCAGGCAGCCTCTAGAAGGAACAAGAAAACGGATTGTCTACTAGAACCTCCAGGATTGAACACAGTCCTGCAGATGCTGCAATTTTGCTCAATGAGATCAACTTTGGACTTCTGACTTCCAAAACTATAAGATATTTGAGGTTTTAAGCCACTCGGTTTGTGATAATTTGTTACAACAGCCACAGAGAGATAATACAGGAAACATACAGATAATACAGGAAGCATAGTCATTAATTTTCTTCTTATATGCAATGGGATATTTGATATGCCGTGATTGACCCTGTATTAGTTAGAAAGCTAATACAATTGATCGACGCTAATAACAAAACATTCAGTCTCACATGGCTGTGAAGGTCAAGAGGAAAACAAGGCCGCAGGTGAGACAGATCCAGCAGTTTTTCCCATAATCAGAACTCAATTTCTCTCTCATTAGCTCCCTCTCTCACTGCTATTGACCTCTGAGCAATCATCTCAGGCAGGATCTCTCCACATGGCCTAGAAAGACCCTATAAGAGCAAAGTTTCCATTTCCCTTTCAGAGATTATCCCAGAGAAAAAGAGAGCAGTTTTAGTAGTAAAAGTTCTGGATGTTTAGTGGCCTGGGTTGGGAAATGTGCTCAGTGTTCAGACAGTTGTCATGGCTACAGAGAAGGAGCGTACTGACTGGCTGGCCAGGAGCATCCTGGCTCACCTATGGAAGAGAAGGGAGGAGTGCTTCCAAAAAGAAAGAGGGGTGAGAAGTATAAGAACAGACCAAACTAGCTGCCATGTCCATTACCCTCACAGAAGCTGATGAAATGCAGAATCAAGGCATGATTACACAGTGTAAATTTATAAAAGTAAATAACAGAAGAACTGTTGGGAGAACGAAGGGAGGCAGGAGAGGCATATATGTGAAGCAATTATTTTCCATTGTAAGGGGTCAATAAATTTTCTACAGATGATATATCAAGAAATAAGAGTATGTATATTCTTTTTTTTTTTTTTTTTTAGAGTTATGGAGATACCCACCAGAAGTACTAAAAATGGAAATGTTTAAAAGTTGCCTCTGGAGAGTGAGAGCAGAACTGAGGAGAGATGAGGTTGGAAATGGTTTTCTTGCACCATAAGCCCTTCTCTCATATTTGGTTTGCTCCTATTTATATAATAACAAAACATGCTGTGATAATGAAAGATTTTTAAATATTTGGATGAATGGCCTTAAACTTTGAAAGAGATCTGATTGATATCTATATTGTGATTCCATTTGGGATGAAATTTTAGGGTTGTGACCAAAAATATTTAATTTGGAATGATCTTTATTAATATTTACGTTATGCTTTTTAAGAAAGAAACTACCTTATTTCTTATCTGCTGGGCTAAACCTCTGGGAGTTTGACCTGCTATGTAACAGATTTCAATAAATGATAGATATTCCAAGGCTGTAGAACACACACACACATCACCACCACCACCACCACCACCACCACCACCCACCACCACCACCACCATCACCACCACAGCAACAAAAAACCTTACCTGCTTTAATTTTTAAAAAACAATTATGAATAGATGAAGGAATAAATAAATGGACCTCTTGTCATCCCCCTTTCCCCATAAGATAGTAAGTTGCCTTAGTTCTCATCAAAAGACCTGTCCCTCCCCCATTTATTTGTTTCCCAAATATGTAACTCATGTCTCCAGTGTCTGTCCAGAACACTGACCGTACCCTGCTCATTCCTCTGCTGCTGCCAGCTCTGGCCCTGAGAGCAGCTGTCCAGGATCCCATTCACCTTTGCTTCTCTGAGGCTTGGCCTGGTGCTCAGACTCCTGGCCTAGATTTCCACTTCTGCTTGCCCAAATTCCAGGCATGGGTTCCTTGTCCCCTTATTTTCTATTGACTCACAGGTCACAGCCCGTTGAAGTCCCAAGGTTAGGAAGGTCGCTGAGGTCATTTGTACCCCTTCTTCAACATCCCCAGACTTCAAAATGATCTTGAGCACCTGCAGTGATAGGAACCCCATCCTTCCCTGATAGCTGCTCCTTCTCCGAGTAAGTCAATAATCATTGTCAGGCTCCCCTCCAACTCAAAGGGCAGTACTAGGACCAAAATGTGGGAGCCACAGAGGAAGAACTTGGCCTGTCCTGCCAGCTGACCCCAAGGCAGCCAGGCTATGGCCCTAGAATGCTGATACGCCACACCCCGGGCCTGATGCTGATTTTCAGTTCTTCTCCAGTTCCCAGGTCACTCACACAGGGCTCCTGAGCCAGGAATTCAAAGTAGGATTCTTTACCCTCCTCCAGGGCCCAAGTAATTTACTTACACAGAAGTTGGAAGCATAAATCAAGAGCCATAAATAACCCTAGTTGATCTCATCCTTGTAATCTTTGGTCACCATCTCAAAGGCAAGCTCCTGACCACCCACCATCTCCCTCACTCTCCCTCTTAAAAAAATCTTCCTCCATGGCTTATTCCAAGTTTTCTCATTTACCCTCGGGAGCCCCCCTCTGGAGCAAAAAAAATCCCTCCATCATCAGCCTCTGCAGAGCTCCATCCCTCCTGGGGCTCTCGAGGACACATGCTCTTTGCCCAGGGCTTCTCATTCTCCCAGATCCAACTGGGTCAAAAATGAGCAGGGCTGGGAAACTTTCCATCTTTTCTTTCCCCTTCTATGACATCATCTGCTCTCTGTGGGTCAGAAGTGACAGACACACCCCAGCTCGCACTTCCAGGTCCTCTGCACTCTCCACCTGAGAATGGAGACCACCTCTACCATGCTCTGCGTGGAAGTTCCCAGGCCTCCCTCGCTTCATACCAGTCTTCCAAACCCAGAGCCCCCTTTTGTCTCAGCTGCAGGCCCTCTTCCTGGAGGACCCTCCATAAGGAACCTCAATCAAAAAGTGGATTTAGCATCCACATTATTTGGGTTCATGACAGGAAATAGAATTCATCCCAGATGGTTCAAATGATGAGAATTTAATGACAATATTTCATCAAGAATTGCGAGCAAGGTACAGAGAAAAAACAAGGAATGTTGAGGGCCACGGAGACAGCAACTGTAGGATGATATTACCACAGTCAGGCTAAAGAGACAACGGCAATAATATCATCATTGCAGGAAAAACTGTAGATGTGCAGAAGAGCTGCCAGCAAGAGTAGGGTTTTGGAGGGGCACAGCCCTTGGTGGGTGGGGAAGGGGTACCCTGACCCCTCCTTCCTCCTCTCCTTGAGTGGGCAAATGAGAATGAAAGGAGAATAGCAGTGCAGAATCCAAGGCCACCAAAAGTGTTTTTAGAGTCCAGTTCCCTCATTTTGCAAACAGGGAAACCAAGGCTGAGAAAGTTTGGAGATTTATCCTAGTCACACAGAGTTTATGGCCAGGCTGAACCCAGACCTCAGTCACCATGTCCCCTGCTGCCTGTCACACAACAAAGTCTATGACTACAACACTCTCTTCTATGTAGTCTCTGTGTTTATGCACTAAAAATAATTTTAAATCATTTTAATTGGGTACATTGCTTTGAATCCCTTCCCCTACAGGAAATACATTGGCTGGTTGATGGAAAGCTGGGCAGCTGGCCTTGAATCCCCTTGACCTTCCCACACTCAAGCTGAGGTTTTCCATCCAGTGCTATTGCCTGAGCCCAAGCTGGATGACGGAGGCTAGAAGTCAACAATAATAGCTCCTTCTAGTTGTTGTTCTGTAGCCAGCAGCTGGATTAATATTCAAAGAGGATTGGAGGAGAAATCTAATTGAATTTAAAACACAATAAATTGAAGCTAACTCATTCGATTTATGGCAATGTCTCCTGGCATCTTTTAATTTTGCATCACATTCATTTGGAGCCAGTCAAATTAGGGTGCTCATTAAGCGGCTGAAGTGGGCAAGGCTGGAGCTACATTCTCTGCTCCAGGCATAATGAGATCTGTACAGGATAATTCAGAAGTCAGAAAGCTGGGGGGAGGGCAGAGGAGGCCATGAGGTCACAGTGGTCACCACCTCATTATCAGGAAAATTGATTTGGTGAGGAGTGAGTGTGAACTCCAGACTTGGCTACTTGTTTACAAGGCGGCCTTGGCCTTTACCTCCCACAGCCTTGATTATAGAAGAATGGCAAGCTTTAGGTGGGGAGCACAAAAGGGATCAGAGTTCTTTTCTTTCCTGCCTCTCTGTGGTATGGAGAGACAATAATTGAGTGGCTACCTCTATAAGAAGAGTCCTCAGGTTTGGAAGGCCATGTGAGCCAGACCCTGGCCTAGCAGAAGGAAGCACACACTAGGGTGGACTAAGGGAAAGGTGTTTCTGCCCAATGT